TGGGCTGGAATGCAGTGACATGAGTCATAGCTCACTGTAATCTCAAACTCCTGGGCTCAAACAATCCTCCCTCCTCAGCCTCTGGAGTAACTGGGTATTCAGGCACGCACCACCACGCCTGGCTAAATTTTAAATTTTTTTGTAGAGATGGGGCCTTGTTATGTTGCCCAGGCTGGTCTCGAACTCCTGGCCTCAAACTGCTTCCCAGAGTTCTGGGATTACAGGTGTGAGCTACTGCACTGAGCCTTAGCTCTTTCTTCTAGTACTTACCTCTGTATTTCTAAGTATTCTTTACTGTACAGTGATTTTTCAGTTTAGACATCTGAGGACTTCCTGCTTGGGAAGATGAAAATTTAGTTCTGTATGATTTCTTCAGCAGCACCCGCACCCGCGGACACACTGACTTCCCCTTTCAGCCTCCCTGTGTCATTTTAATATCACTTGGGGCTGAATTTTTTTAAGATTTATTACTGCCATGTTCACAGCTGAGTTCACCTAATGTACTCTGATTTTATTTCCTTTCTCGTGAAACTTTATTTTTTTGAAGTTTATCATTACTTTGTTTTTTCCTTTGGTTTTCTCTGTACCTATCACTAATTTATCCCCAAACTGCTTAGAGCCATAAAATTCTTCTCAATATTGTCAAAATAAGTAATCTGTCCCTTTTTTTTTTTCTTGGAGGTGTGCCTCCCAAAGTCCTCTGTTGTCCTGGTCTGGTTAGGACTGCTTGTTCTTAGGCCAGCTTCAGCTGTCTTTCCGGAATCTTCCCTTACATCTCTCCTGTGTTGTGTCTTTTGTCTCCTATAGTCCGTGTTTTCTCATGGTCTTCCTTGGGCTACTCTCACATTTTGGTGGAATACTTTTTCTAGTAGCTTCTTGAGAAAGGGTACATGGGAGGTAATTTTTTTTTTTTTTTTTTTAAATAGAGGCAGGGCCTCACTCTGTCTCACAGCTGGCGTGCGGTGGCATCGTCATAGCTCTTTGCAGCCTCCAGCTCCCAGGCTCCGAAGTAGCTGAGACAATAGGTGTGTGCCACCACACCCCGCTAATTAAAAATTTTTTTTGTAGAGGTGAGGTCTTGCTTTGTTGCTCATGCTGGTCTTGAACCCCTGGCCTCAAGTGATCCACCTGTCTTAGCCTCCCTGAGTACTGGGATTATAGGCATGGGCCACCGTGCCTGGCCAGGGGGTACATTTTTTTGGAAAA